CCCGCAGCGCGCGCCCCCATCCTGCCCGCGGCCCACGAAACGCACCCTGCTGCGCCGCCGAGCCCGCCCTCTTCTGCCCTCGGGCCCGCCCCGCGACCAATCGCAGCGCGGCACGGCCGCCGCCTCGCCGCGCTATTGGAGGAGTGCGCTGCCGAATGACGTGCTGGACCGGGGGTTTCCGCTCCATCTCGTTTGCATGAGACGCAGCTTGACGGGGGAGCGCGGAAGGGCACAGTAGGCGGGGCGTTCCTCGCTGAGAGCGAGGATTGGCTGTTCAAGGAGAGAAGACGGGGGGCTGCTCATCGCTGATTGGACGGTTGACGTGTGTTGATGGCCGCCCGGCCGTTTACAGCCGTTAACGGTCGCTAGCGCTCGCGATAAGGCGCATGCGTGCGGAAGCCCCCGCTGCAGCGCGCCGGGGCGCGCGCCGCCCGGGCACTTTCTCACCTCGCGGGTGGGCAGCGCAGCCGCCGTGAGTCCCGCGGCGGTCAGCCGGCCTGCGAGACCGAGGCTCCTCGGTGACGAGGGCCCCGCCTCCCTACGGCAGCCCTCCAGCGCAGCACCTGTGGAAAGAACAAGACAAAGCAAAAATTGGCTTTTCAGGACTTTACCACAGCAGAGTTTACAATCATAAACTTCTCCAAGTTAAAAACCGTTTCCTGGGTTAATTAAACTCTAATGGTTCCTGGAGAAGATTCAGTCCCGCAGAAGTAACAGGCATTACCATAAGGCTGAACAAAATCCCCTTTTCCCCAGCAATAGCTTTGCCAACCTCTCACTAAACTCATGGTGTAACTTTAAATGACACTTTATGAATTACTCAGTGGTAGAGTCACCTAGAGAATTGGTAATGAATATTAAACCCTTTCTTACCTTAATCTCTAGTTTTGAAGTATTTTTACTCTCAAGAAATGTAAGTAATGCGACTGAATACTTAATTTAATACAAGCCACATATAGATCCTCTTTAACTGACCTACTTTGGAATGTGACTGTCATCTGAATGCTATTCCATTTTATCCAGTTAACAGCAGTTTTTTTTATATGTAGAGTGAACTCTTCTTAAATAATGAATGAGAGAATGAACTTCTGAATAGAGTTGCTCAACAGAAGGTTTTGTTTAAAGGCCCTCCTCACGCATGAAGCATTTCCAGATGATACAACATTTTTAAACAAACGTCTTTTTTTTTGTTTCTTTTCAATCACATCATACTTTAAAGTACTGGTGAAATAATTTAATAAAGATTTCTTATTTAAAATGCCAGTGTTTATAACAACATTGCCATGCAAATGAACACTTCCCTGCTTTATTAGCATCCCTAATATTCCTTTAATATCTATTTTTGTACATAGTTAAGTCCACTTCAGCTCAAATAAGAG